TTCGACAGCGATTTTGACTGCTGCTTGCGGCCGTTTTAACAAAAATCGTATCTCTGAAGATGGGATAAGGTCCCGAAATGCATTTCCTCTTGTACAGAAACAGATAATAAATATGCGTCTTTGGCTTACCTACCATTTTATTATTAAACAAAAAACACATGTGACGGTTGAGAAGTCGAAACTTGATGACAGCATATTTTCGAAAAATTTTGGGTTTGCCCCACTTTCTTAAAATCAAATATATCGTACATTAGTTAAAAAATCGGAACAATTTATTACACCAAAAAGCTATGAGGCTGCATAAACACCGCCACCCAACAATCGTGAAAGTGACGGTCGTGAAATTTTAACCAGTTAAAGCTAAAAATGAAGCTTAATTCCTTGATATACACAATTTTAACTATCAGAATTCATCGAGAGCCTTTATTTCCTTCATTTCAGGTAAAATGTGAGATTTTCCCCCGTATTTGTTACAAATTAAACGTTCTCGACTGAAATGGGATTCGTTTCGTAGAATTGCTCATTAGCCGCTGTAGCCTGGCCGTTTATCTCTGGAACATCCCGTAGATACGCAATTTTTGCCCACCTCGGCAAAGCACATCCTAGCTCCTCGGGCGATGATATAACAACGTAAGCTCAACGTAAATCCCATGCAGATGCGTGCTTTTTCAATCCGCTTTCGCCCACCTCGGCAAAGCATATCGACGGTGAAATTACCAATAACCACGTATCTCGTTTGCGGTGTTTAAAAATCTACGCACACATTTTTTTTTTTTGAAATAGACCAAATCAATATCATTCCTCGAAATTTTCACAGAATTTTCTTCGCACGAAGAGGAAAAATCACAGAAATTCTCAAGACTGGACATTAAGTAGTTTTTCATTGAAAAAATAAAGTATGACAGGAAGTCTGCGACGTCGCAAACCGAGATACGTGGTTTGGTAGTTTCACCATCGATATCCTAGTCCCTCGGGCCATGATAAAACATCGTAACCTCAACGTAAATCCCTTGCAGATGCGTGGTTTTTCCATCCGCTTTCGCCCTTGGGTCGTGACTCGTGACGCTACACACCCCCAGGGACCCCCAACGACCCCCGACTCGGAAACGATTATGTACGTATATTTCAATCAAAAGGAACTATCTTAATCGTGATTTTGGCCTTATTATGCATGTATTCTTTTGGGTTGTGGAGCCCAAGTCGCAATGGAGTTAGGTCTTTTTGAATTTGGTATTCGGACATATGACGGAACGATTAGCAGCCTCAGAGCTGAAGTCCGTCGACTCGCTCAGTGTCTTGTCCGTGGCTGTAAAATTTCATCGAATTATGATCAATTATATTCTTTTAATAATTATTTTTTTAATTATTAAAAAAAATATTATTTCAAATTGTTACTATTTTAAATATTTTTTCAATTATTTTTTTTTTTTATAATTATTTTTCAATTATTTTATTTTTCATCGAATTAATTGAGCCGTAGGGTCCGGAAAGAGCATTTCTCGGTTGCGGTGTTTTTGAATCCTTTGTGCTAATTTTCAGTTTATCGAGGAAAAATATCGGGTGAATTTTCGAAAATTTTACGTTTTCAGCGTTGTAAAATGGATTGCGTTTAGCAGATAGAAACCAAGCCATATCAGTTATTGCCAAATTTAACTGACAATTTAATTTTTTACAATAGAACGCCTGTGCGGATTCCTTTGAAAATATTCAGGAATTTGCTTCTTATTATGCAAAAAATTGATCCGAACAACCGATTTCATGTAAAAAATTAGATTGCCTAATCAAAGTTGGCAGTAGATGATGTGACTTCTTGGTTCCTTTCTGCTTAACGCGGTTCAAATGATTAATAATTGTTCAATTCATGATCCAAGGGTATCCTCGTCTTCAGTTCACTCAGTAGTTTCCAATTAAACACGAAATTCATCAAATTTCAGACATTTGCAAATTATAAACGATTATAGATGGAAACATCTATACTTCCACTATAGAAATTTATTTTAAGTTTCTTTTATTTCTTAGGAGCTAATTAATGAACGACTCGTTTCGACCAATAACGAACCGCAGTTTGGGCAACTTTTATATATTTTAACTAAATGCTGGTATCCGTCACCAATCATTTTAAAAAAAAGAATTGTCAATAAAAAAGTATCTTTAGAGGGTTTAATAGTTTTTTTCACCATTTTAAAGCAAACGAGTCTGGCCTCGCCAGTCAGCAAGCGCTGCATACCGAGAGGACCGAGGGTAGAATCACAAGATCAGAGTTGTTACTTCTGCCGTGTAGAGCGCCTTCAAATCATCTATCACGCATTCTCTCATACATGCCTGTGCTACTCCGCGCTGCAAGGCGTTTTGGTGACGGTTTTTATAATGGTCGGTGTTGTCATTTTGGACGAAAGGGATAATCGGTCTACATTTTGAAACTACGGAGTATACTGCCGTGCAACGCAAAAACGCCGTAAACGCCATTGTACACTTATTGGAAAGAATGTATCATAGCAAAAAAACTCTCGTACCTTGGGACAATGTTTTCACAGAATTCTTTTGCAAATACCATCAAGAACTTAACCTGAAAATTTGAGGTGCATGGGTGCCATCTTATTTTATATAGTGTTAAGTTAAAAAAATCGAGGGAGAGTCGTGATGCGTTTTTGCTTAGCACGGCAGTACAGTTTGTGGCTCACAATCAGTATAGAAACAACGTATGTACCACTAGTTACTGTATGCACACATGTGTTTTTACGGATGAGTCAGAAATAGTAGGCCGTAATTGCAAAATATACATTGAATCGCCACCTGCGAAAACCTTTATTAATATTTTTTGGTAATCTTGAGAGGGCATCCAAACTCTGTGCATGCTTTTTAAATGCGAGTTAAACTGTCGATCGAAGCGAACCTCCAAACCTTCTTAAACTATCACCTAACTTAAAAACTCTCTCTACCCTCTTCTTCAAATCCACAGGAGTCTTTAAACCAAAAAATTTACAAGATAAGACAACGCGCGAGACTCAGCTGGTTTTTATGACGAGGTGATTTCAAAAAGGAAAAAAAAATGAATAAATCAAATAAATTAAAATGAATAAATTAATTAAGTAAAATAAAATGAAGTCATCATAAAAAGAAATAAAGACAATTTAATAATGAAAGTAAAATAAAATAAATAAATTGATAATCTAAGTAAGATAAAATAAAATAAATACATGGATAACCAAAGGAAAGTAAATAAAGTAAACTATTGGGCCATGTGTTGCAGCAAGGAACAGCTGTTTTTAATTCGTATTATTCGTAAAATCACTTATCTGCTCAGGAAATCTAATGGTAAATACGTCGTGTTTAAAATGCGCCAGGAACGTGTTCTAAAACAGAAAAAAAACAATAACAATTGAATAATAATTTAGTTGAATTAAAAATATAATATTAAATTAAACAAGACACTTAGCAGCGCTGCACCCGCGACAACAGCTCCGCGACCGCCGCGCAGAACGTAGCGAACTCTATCGGAGAAAGCTAGAAGTAGTCGTGACGTAGTCCCGCGCTCACCTAGTAGGTAGCGTTTAGCGGTCATGAATTCGCGTTCCGCGTTCTTTTTGTCGTTTTGGTTTGAATGGGGTCCCAAGGACGGTGTTTCACACGTCAGCTTTGCGCAGAGGCGATATCGTAACCAATGAAGTTCATCTGAGGTGCGATTATTGCTAGTTGAAAACTTTAACCAATACCCCGCCACGTGAACGTGAAATACCGTTCGCAATGGCAATTTTTGAATGCTCCTACGGGAGCTGATAACATCTGCATCATCCCATTCTTCTAGTGTCTTCTTGATGATTACTCACTGGCATAATAAGTTAGGTAGCAGCCACCCGTCCTAATTTTTGTTTTCTTTTTTTTGGGTACTCAACTTATTAGGGGGAGTTTTTTTAGGATTGGGCCGGAGTGGCTACCGCCACCTAGAATTAGAGCGTTGCCTACGAGAATGGCAACGTAAACAACAATTTGAGGCGGGGCATCGTTTCCAAGGAACAAGGGTCTTTATCACAGCGGCACTTTTTTCTTTTTTTTCTTCTTGATTTTTTAAAATGGTTTTTTAATTTTGTTTCGTATACTTTATCTCTAATTTTCTTTTTCTTATTTCACTTTTTTTAAGATGAAAAGAAATCTAAGAAATCATACACTGCTATTTCTAATTTTTAATTTTTAAAAAAGTAATCTTCAATTTTTTAATGTTTGCTGTGTAGTTAAGTTGTTGGTCTCCCCTCTTATCATGAGCGACTGGTGATTTTTTTTATTTTTCATTGTGTTTAATTTGTTTTCAATAATCTTAACTTAAATTTCTTATCCTTTCGTTTTAATTTTAGAATGATTGTTCATCTTTCAAAGTTTTTTTTTTTTTTTTTTTTTTTTTTTTTTTTTTTTTTTTAAATCATTCTATTTTTATCGTCTCTTCGCCCTCTCTTTCTTTCATTAATCCACATACGCACTGGCAAAAATAAATAATAAAAAAAAAAATCTCTTGGATTTACAGTCCAGACGCTTAAAAAAATTGGCAAAAAAAGTACTCTTGATTCAATCGTATTTTTCCTTGAATCGAGAGCCTAGTCTCTCAATTTAAGCGGATTTCCTTTTGGTCCGAGCAAAAATCCGATTGAATCAAGAGTATTTTTTCTTGTCAAAGTTTCTAAGAGTACATTCTAATGCCAAAGATTGTCTAAGCTTCACAGAACATGGTAATTGATTAAACAAAATTGAGATACAGTAATAGAGCTCATCTCCATGTAGTTTGAAATAGTACTTGTTTAATTTAACTTTCGCTTGTAGCTCGATTTTTTTAAATCAATTACCATGTTTCTAAGAGTCTGGACTTTGGATTCAAAAGACTTTTTTCCCATCAGTGGGTGCAATTTTTACTTTGTTTTACCCGCCGTTAGTTTTGAGTTACGCGTTTCAATTTCTTTTAGCTTTAATTTGTTGAAGTTACTGACCTGTTGATCATTACCTATCTGTTTCAGTTCCCGAGGCGAAGGCCCGACCATAAAGTGGAGCTCCCAGAGGAGCCCGTCCTTTGTAGCGCCGCCCAAGATTTACTCAGAAGACTTCTGGAGGTAAACCCTAGATATCGACTGAAATCCGTCCTCGCCCTAGAGAAAATAGCCTTCTATCAACATTTCAATTTTGCGGATATTCGTGCTAAGAAGGTCAGTACTAAAAAATATCTCTATTTCCTGAGGTGGAATCGGGATGATATGAAACGAAGGAAACTTGACTTTCCTCTCTTAACTTATATTCGTCTGTAACGATAAACAATGGGACGCGTTTGCTACGGCGCCTTGATACAACTATACAACCTCGACGGATGTCCGTATTGCGTTCAAAAAATTGAAGGCGTTTTGACTCCCTGCTCGTACCACCTGTAGTTGATTCGATCGACACGCGTTGGTCAGCGGTGACGGGGACTTGATGCAACTATTCAAACTCGATGGATGTCCATATCGCACCGACTGAAATGCGAAACCACGTATCTCCATTGCGGTGTTTCAAAATTTCCGTTCTTATTTCATCTGTTCCAAGAGAAACAATCCAAATTCACGACTTTAAATTTTGAACCAAATCTTCTGCTATCGGATCCGAAATATCATGGAGAATTTAAGTTTTATGTTGACCAGCTTATCGAAAAAAATACAATACAATTTCTGAGGAAGTCTGCAACGTCGCAAATGGAGAAACGTCGTTTCTCATTTAGCCCAAAAACATGTATGTATAAAATTGAAGGCATTATGATTTTCCTCTCTCAACTAATATTCGTCTGTAACGATAAATAATGGGACGTGTTTGATAAGGCGCGGCAGCTCGTAGAAACATGAACCACCGGCTGCATACTCAATTGCAATAGTGTAATCTGAAGGAGCGCTATGCCTGCAACGTAAACGTAATCACAAGCGTAGATTTCGTGCGCGCCACTATGCATTTCCCTCATAACATGACATGACAGGGAGCTAATGCTTCAAAATATGTAACTGCTGCTCATTTGTCCTACTAGATGGTGTTGAAAACCAGAATTTTTCCCCATTTCGTCACTCCTCTGAAGTAAACGCGTATCTCACTTTCCACATGAGCCCCAGGAGGCATGGATTTATATGTGAAACAGGGCTCACGCGGCTTTTGAGTTACGCCGTTATGTCAAGGAAGCGACGATTTAAATCCATGTCAAATATCCACATCATATCGCTGAGGCTGGCAAATTCACTGCTGTTTTGAGTAAATGTCACACTCTATCTTAAAACATGGGTTGTTCCAAATCCTGAGGAAGATGCTCATCAGTTGGACTTCAAATGTGGGGCTTGGAGGACGAGGCGCATATGTGCAGTTTTTTAAAAAAAAAATTGAGATACACTGGGAAAATAACCACATTGGATCTAGAGTCCAGACTCATAAAAACATCGGCAAGAAAAAGTACTCTTGATTCAATCAGAATCCAGCTTAAATGAAGAACCAAGCCTCTTAATTTAAGCGAATTTCGTTTTGATTCAAGCAAAAAACCGATTGAATCAAGAGTATTTTTCCTTGTCAATGTTTTCAAGAGTCTAGATTCTAGTTCCAATGTGTTTTTTCTCCCAGTGTATAAATAATTTCAAACGAAACTAGTCTTACTGCTTATTCTGAGAAAAACTCGCTCCCGAATTCCAATTTTTAAGCATCAGAAAGTCAGTGTGAACTTTCTTTTCCCCATAAGGATCCATATAATCCGAAACTTCAAACACGTATTCTCTCGAAATAGGAATAACTGCGCTTATTCGCCTTGTCCTCCAAGCCCTCAAATGTCCAATCAATTCATAATCGTTTTCAGGGTGATTTCACGATAACAGGAATAGTTAAAATATGAAATACCTGAGAAATAAAAGTGCACCAATTTTAACAGGATTTCATTACCTCATTCTAAAGGTATTAAACTTCCTTTTTCCAGCTTTGGCACGCTCTATTTTGATTCAGTGCAAAGTTAAAGTGATTGATAAATAAGCCATTGAATCAGGTATCAGCGCTTCCCGCGGGACTGCTGTAGGTCCACGCAAACATGGCGGCCCCAGAGACCGCAATAGCTCATATCCGAGTTGCCTCGGCCTCAGGTATCAAGAGGCAACTGTACCGGGAATTCCCTCGGTATTGAAATCTGGACGGGGATCGGAACGCGTACCGCGCTGTCAACCCCTTCGGAGGCGCGAGGGGATGTGAAACGCATGCGGTTAAAATCAGGACCTCGGATCGGTCTCTTCTCCGATGAAAGTGAAATCTTGAGTTAACTATCAACGGCCGGATAGTTCGCTCAGAATCAGCGATTTCGAGTTGATTCAACGGACGGCGACAATTCGCTCAACCTCCTCGATTTCAAAGTCTTGTCCAGGCTTTGAATGGTGGCTCTAATTCGGCCGCGTCTTCTTGTGTTTCATTTTCGTCCGTCCGACTGACAAAATGATGCATGAGTGCAA